ATCTCCCATACAGAATAGCCTGAGATACTCCATCTCTACTTCCACAGTTGACATCTCTGAATCTTTCTTAACTCTTCCCTTTCATACAAGCCAGTTCCAAAGATTCTTGAGACACATAGCCAGGTAATGACACAAGAAGGACCCCACTTTTCTGGTACCAAATTTCTGTTACTTATTTTTCTCTTATTTTTGAGGCAACATACCTGACACCCAAAGTTAAAGGGGGAAAGGGTTTATTTGCTCACAGCTTGTTGAAGTTTCAGTCTATGGGTGGCTTCAAGGCAGGGACAGCAAACAGGCATCACCGAGGAGAAACAACATGGTGCACACAAGGTAGCAAAAACGTCCTTAACAGTGTCTTTCTGCTCCTTATTCAGATTGAGATAGGGAGAATAGATATAATTCCCAAACCTACTAGATATCCAGAATGGGAGTTCTTGTTCTCTAAAATTGAAGAATGGATTCTGTTAGATTTCCCTTGCCTTAAGATGGCTGCAGCATGGAATAGCAGCCTTCATCTTAAAATAATGGCTTCTCCCACCAAAGGCAGGCTTATTCTTCCCAACATGCCCCTCTTTTTAACCTTTGTTAGGTAAAAAGATCTGAAAACCAGGACCATACCAGGACCATAACAAACTTTTATTATGGGGAGGATCTGCCAGGCTGTCTCTGAACAAAGGAGAGCAAGCAACATGGCAGAACAGGGCGCTTTTATAGGAGTGGGGTGGGGTTAGCCTGAGCTGGGGTGGAGTTGAGTGAGGTAGTATTAAGGGATTGGAGGAGACCATGTGACATCACTAGTTGCTAGGAGGTAGCAAGTATTCCCTTTCTTGGCGGGAAGTGGGGCATGTTGGGAAGAAGACTGTCCTTTGGTGGGAGAAGTCATAATTTAACATGGAATTATGGGAAGGAGGCCGTTATTCCTTGTGGCAGCCATCCCATTTTAAGGCACAGAGCATTATGGGAAGGAGGAGGCTGCTATTTTATGTAGCAGCCATTTTAAGGCAAGGGAAATTTAACAGTTCAGAGTAGGAAAAATTAGTGAAAGATAGCTTCTAAGAGAGACAGAAGTGGGACTGGAAAATGGATTACACCCCAGTTTTTTTCTTGGTTCTCATGCTGATACACTACAATTCTTTAAGATTATTTGTGCCGTGAGGGAGCAATTAACGTCTTTGTCAGCAAGCACCCTATAGTTCCCTTCTAGAAACATGCCTTTTTAAAAAAGTCTAAACCTTTTCAAAAGAGTAAATTGTGTTACCCTCTACAGTATTATTGATCTATCTGGGTTTTTCAGGGATTCATGAAAAGAGAACTTCAGTAATTGTTTTAAAATAATAATTGTTGAAAATAATAGCTGTTGAAATAATAGTTCTTGAAATAGTAGAGGAGGGGGTATCATAATGTTTAGAAGGTTTCAGACTTAATGGTCTTGAACAATGATGCTTTGTTCCTAGGACCTGGTGTGGAATAGGAATAAAGTGTTCTCACCGTTCGTTGTTTGATGGACTTAAAGATGTAACTGGTGATTTCCTCCATCTGATAAAATCCTGTTTATGTAAAAGTGAACCAAATTTGGAACACTTGAAATGTGAGAAGTTTGAAACAAATGATTGATCAAAAATAAAATAAAAAATACTGTCTTCACTTGCCTGTTTTTTTTTTTTTAAAGATCACTTTGTTGTTGTTGCTTACTAGCTTCATTTGTTTTTACTGCATTTTTTAAATTTGGGGGGGCTTGTATCTCCCCAACAGGGAGCCCAGCTGAACAAGGACCTACATGTTTAAGTAACTGATTATTCCAGATGCCATCACTTAATTAGCTTGCCAGAGGAAAGCTGAAAGGAAATAACTTTCTTTCTCTTTTGCTCTATAAAAACCAAACCTTAGCCTGATAACCATACTTGTGTATTTACAACACTGTGTTTGTTTGAAGACATCATGGATTGCCCTTTTTAACTAAAAATATGCCAATTTTTTATTCTCTTAATTGTTTTATTTTCTCATTGTCTCCCCCCTCCCACCAGGTTTTTAAAGGCAAAATTAACATAATATTGTCTTTATTTTAAGGAATTATCTTTATTCTTTAAGGACTTGCTCAGATTACTGCTCATTGCAACCATTCTTGGGCTCTTGCTGTCAACAAATTTTACTTCCTTTGGTTCTTAATGCCTTTTCTGTTTGTTACACTTTTCTACTCTAGATGTTCATCACTTTAATAGCTACTGCCTTTGCTTTTTACCTCTTTAGACTGGGTTAAAGTATTCTATCACTTCATTGTTAATAGGCTAGCTCTATAGTGATGTCCTTGCCATTTCATGTTAATGATACCTTATGTGATATTAGCAGACTTTGTAAAGATGAATGTGATTTCTGTAATTTTTTAGCTTTCTCAAGGAACTTAGGTAGAGATTTAATATTTACTGGGTGGGCTACCTGTGGTGTTGTTACATACCTCATAATTTGAAATCTCACACATTTAAAAATAAAGGCATGGAAGGCTTGAGTGTAGATACATTTATAGGTGGCAAACCTAGAATGTGTTATTAGAGAGAGAATAGTTTGGTGAATGTTTGATACCATAATAACAAGGCTCTGCAAATGTTACTGGATATATCTAGAAAGACTGGACCACATACAAGGTGTGACTATTATGAAATGAAATTTAATGCTAGAACACTTGTAAAACCCCAGAATTATGTGCCTAGTACACGTGGAATGGTTTTTGGTAAATGTTATCTTTCTATTATTTTGGGAGATAATCTTATGTTTAATATTGACTACTCCGTTAAATGGAGTAATAGTTATGCCCTTTAATAATTTATAACTTGTTTTTGGACTGTCAAATAAGGCATTTAAAAATGAATTAAACTATACAGGTTTAACTTGTGTGTAAGAGAATAATGTGATATCTGATTACCTTGGAAAATGGTATAGTTTTAATTCTGCATTTTAAAAAATACTTGCTTGTGGTGGAGTCTCATTAGTCTAGGCTGATCTCCAACTCTTGTACTTAAGTGATCCTCCCCTTTTAACCTCCTGAGTTGCTGGAACTTCAGGCTCACACCATTGCATCCCACTTAATTTAGAAAGTGCAAATTTCTGTGAAGTACAAATAAAAATCCATCTAAGAGTAAACCTTTCCCAAAATGTGATTGTTAGTAAGAGTTGGGGTGTATGTGTGTTGCTGGATATTACCTTTATAGACACAAACATACTGTATTGTATGTATGAACCTGCATCCTCCACCCCCAAATAAAATCAGTTCTGCAAGTTTTATTTGCAACTTGCCTTTTTCATTTAATGTATAGTGAACTTCTTCCTCTCCTCCCTTCCACCTTTGCTTCTATCGCTTTTTTAATTTTAATTTTTGTAGTGCTAGGGGTTGAACTCAGGGCTTCACCAATGTTAGGCAAGTGCTCTACTACTGAACTACACCCTCAGCCTGTAGTAAACTCATTTATTATGTTTCATATTAGGCCAGAACTATGCAAACTTTAATTCTTCAATATTTTCAGTGCCTATCATATTAGAAATGTTTGGTTATAGAATACCAGTTGTACTGGTTTGCTAGGGCTGCCACAACAAAGAATTTTTATCATTCCCTAACTAAAGAATAATCAGGCCCATTAATATCAGTGAATGTTCATTATGTGGGTTGTATATTAGACACTGGAGATATAAAGCTGTTTAAGTTTCAGTTCAAAGGCCTTAGCGGTCTCTTTGAGGAGACCAGACTCAAATATATGAAGGTAACCAGTGACACAGACTTGATATACTATTTGGAGTGAAGTCCAGATCAACTGGAGGAAGCTTTTGGGAGTGGTGGAAAAGGAAATTTGATGGAATATGAAAGACTTTTAAAGAAATGGGATCTCTGGAACTCTTGGGCTCAAGCGATCCTCCCACTAAAGCCTTTTGGCTTGAAAGGCAGTTGAAAGGAAAGTGAGGCTTGGATGGGTTAGTATGTTAATTAAAACACCTAACAAGAAACACATTAGAGTTCAATAATAAGAAGTACTTACATAGTTTAATGTTTGGTAATTCTGTCCTTAGACTTGTTAAAACTGCCTTTTTTTTCCCCTGAAATGACAAATGTAAAATCTGCAAAACAGGCCCATTTTCCAGAAGGGGAGATGAACATATGGAAAAACACATTCTTTCAGACTATGATGACTTGAGTTTTGGATTCTGCTTGAAATCTCTCTTTATTCAGTCCAGTGCTTTTGCTGTGGGCCATACTGGTACTGATGTAGGTGCGAATACTTTGTCCCCCTCACTAAAACCACACTATCGTTTACTGCTATGCACACACACTCACTCAGTTTCTTAATACCTTCAAATATCTAATCATTATTGAAATTGTCTGTTAAGTGGTTTTATATAGTTGGGTTCATATTTTGTTGTCTTAAATATGAATTGCTCCTTTTTTATTATATTTCATCAGTTGAACAAATCAGATTTTTCCATAGTTTTTGTATGTGTGTGTGTTTGTGTGGTTTTCTGCACTATGTTGACTGTCCCCTTAGGAGTGTTTAATATCTTACATCCTGTATATTCTGTCATCTGGTAGATCTAGTTCCTTGATGTTACTTATTTTTGGACTGGGGTGACAGTGGTGAAAAAACATGGATGATACTGGTATGTATTTTTTTAAAAAATCATATCACAATATGACACACAGTATCTGATCTCTTTTTGTAATTATAAGGTGATAGTCCATTTTGGCATTGTTAGCATTTTTCTCATATAGTTCCAAGGAACCATTTTACCTAGTATTTTTTTTTTAACAACTGTTGATAATTATTGCCTAGATCCAGCATTTTATTAATGGTTCAGAATACAGTTTTAGCTTCGTGTAATTAAAAAAATATATATAAAAATAATTTAAAGATAATACACATTTTTTGGTTATATTTAAAGCTAGGTTAATATAAACTTTGCATCTGTAAAATATTCTCATAGTTCCAAAATAATAGGCTAAAGCTTAAAAATAAGTCTTGCTCACTTTACCAGCATATATGGTAAAATTTGAATAATACATTCAGGATTAGCATGGCCTCATATGAAGATGATACACAAATTTGTGAACTACATATTTTTTATGAATAAAGTGCTTGCTTTGGCAGCACATATACTAAAATTGGAATGAATAAACTAATGTAAAATAGCTAAAAAATGGTTGAACCTTTGAAATACTTAAGTATAACTTTGTGATATTACAGGTGAATTGAGTACCTGGGGTTCTGTTGAAAATTATCACATCTGAATTATAATTTTTTTCCTGGTGAAGCGGGGGTTGAACCAGGGCCTTTACATGGAGCTACATCCTTAGCCCATTTTATTTTATTTTATTTTGTTTTGTTTTGTTGTATTGTATTGTATTGTATTGTATTTTGGAACTGGGGATCAAACTTGGGTCCTTGTGCTTGTGAGGCAGGTGGCAGAACCGCTGAGCTAAATTCCCGGCCCTCAGGCCTTTTTATTTGAGACAGGGTCTAGCTAAGTTGCCCAAGTAGGATTAGAATTTGGGATCTACCTGCCTCAGTTTCTCAAGGTCTGGGATTACCTGAACTATAGTTAATAAGATGGCTGATTGTAGACTAATATTTTAAAAGTAGCTTTTCTTTTCCATTTTTAATACATTCCATTTTAAAGTTATGTATTTCTCCCTTTCCTTTTGAAAAGTAACTTTAGATTCTTAAGCATATAATTCAGAAAATTAGATGAGCTAACAAGGTGCATTATAAGATTTTAGAGGTACTAGAGTGCATTTAATTCTCTTTGTAATGTTTAAAATGAACCAAACGATTTGTACATGTGTTTTAATTTTCAGTTGAGGCTGTAACAAATAATCACAAATTTAGGGTCTTATATTATTTTTTATTTTACAGATTTGGAGGTTAAAAGTTTAAAGAGTCTTACTTGGCTCTGACCAACACGTTGATAGTGTTGTGTTCCTTTCTGGAGGGTCTGGTGCAGAGTCTGTTCCCTTTGGCCTCTTAACTGTGTAGAGGCTGCCCCTGCCCCTAAATCTTCAAGGCAGCAAGGACTGTCCACTTTTTCTCGTATCCCTCCATCAGTGACTGTCCTGCCACCCCTTTCCTCTGAGAGGACCCTTGTGATTACATTGAGCCCACCTGGATAATCTAGGCTAAACTCCCCAAACAAATCAAGGCCTTGATTTTAGCAAACTTAATTCCCTCTGCAACCTTATTTCTCCCCTTGCCATATGGCATAACATAGTCACAGTTTCAGGGGATTATAATGTGGACATTTTGGGGGCTATTATTTTTCTACTACTACAGTGTGTGTACATTTTTAAACTTCAGCAAAGAAATCAGCGTATTTTCATGTATAGCAAATTGATTCCTGATCTTCCTGTAATGAGTTTTGGGAGAGGAAGTCGAGTGACTTTACAAACCTGTACCTTTTGCATTAAGTGAATGTAAAGAAGTGATTGTTATCTGCTAGTTATAGGGTGAGTAAAATGATAGCTTTGACTTCAGGTACTGTTAGCACCCTCATTCACAGCAGGAGAGAAGTAAAAATGGAACAGAGTACAGTGTTCAAGAAAATTAGCTACTAGTACTTTTACAATTTAAGCAAGTAAATATAGGTTGGGTAACATTTGAGGTTAGATGAAAATGGATAAAATATACCTGTATCACATGACTGTGCTCACTAGAGAATATGTAGAGTACATTTTAGGATTTTAAGATTGGATGAAGACCCCTTGTATTTACAATTCCCTGGTGGTTGGGTTTCATTAAAATCTATAAGGTTTAGAGAAGAGATTTAAAACAGATTGTGGCCAGGCGTGATGATGCATGCCTGTAATCCCAGCACTTGGGAGGCTGAGGCAGGATTGCTGTGAGTTTGAGACCAGCCTGGGCTACTCAGTCAGTTCCAGGTCAGTCTCAACTATGTAGTGAGACCCTGTCTCAAAAAAAACCCCAAAAAACAAAACGCAAAAAACAAAAACAAAAAAACCAGCCAAAAAAACAGATTGTTCTTATAGGAAAGGACATTTGCGATACCACATTTCTTTTTTTTTTTTGGGTACTGGGGATCGAACTCAGAACCTTGTGCTTTGTGAGAGATGTAGTGGAACCACTGAGCTAAATCCCTGGCCCTGAGATACCGTAATTTCTTAATGTAAAGTGGAAAACATGGAGATTCCTGTGAGGGTAGATTTAATGATTAAAGATAATATCAGAAGAAACTAATTTGGGGATTCATTTTTCATATGAACCTGGAAGAAAATCAGCTGCAGGAGAGAGTAAGAAAAGACATTTAAAGAAGAGAAAAAAGAACCAGTAAATTTATCTCTGGACTGTGCTGGGCGAACTGATAGATACAAGAATGCTTCTTGTTCTGAAGGCAGATATGGTCATGTTGGGGAGATAAGACTTCAGTTTACATCCAGCAGAGAACAGTGTCTGAAAAGTGTTTGTCTGAGCTCTGGAAGGGTGGGCTATGAACAGGGAAAGGTTGGGCATTTAATTCTCAAATATTAGCAAGATCTGTAGCTTAAATGTATTGCAGCTTTTTAAGTATATAGAATCGAGCCTATGTATCGCAACTTTTTAGTGTTATAGAAGTGAGATACCCACTTGTCATTTCAGTTTTTGGAATATTTTACATTTTACTGTCACTAGATTTTGTAGAATTTACCACATGGAATTACAAAATACTTTATTCTTTCACTTTGTAATTGTATACATATGTGTATATATCCATTTTATATAAAAAGCTAAATTTATATTGAGGACTTTAAAAGTGAATTTGAGTTTTGAACACTGCAAGTGTTCAGGATAAAAATCCATCAGAAAAGACTCAGAGTTGACATATAAGTTATTTTTTTCATAAAACAACTTTCTTGAGCTGTAACAGATACTATACAATTCACCCATTGTTATTGCTTGTATCTAGATACCCCCTCCCCCAGTCTCATGTGGTCATAGACTTGGAGTTTCCAAGATGGCTGGATTAGGGTGTATAATGCTGGGATGAAGGATGCCCCATCCTGAATTGGGTGGCACCACTTAAAAGATATGTAGCCTGGATGGATTATAAAGGGACAGAAAAAAGGCAGGCTGCTGCTACTATTTGCTATTCACTACCTTCTGCCTTCCCTGCCATGCCATGGGCTGTTTCTCCTCTTCATTGCCCCTCTGCCATGCCATCCTGCCTTGGAGCCCATTAACTATAGACTGAAAAACCCTAATCCCCACAAACTGTGAGCTAAAATAAACCTTTCCTCCTTTTACGTAGGGTATTTTGTCTCTACAATGAGAAAAGTAACTAAGACACCCATTTAAAGTGTTTTACTATATTGAAGAGTTGTACAGTTTACCACGGTCAACTTTAGAGCATTTCATCATCTCAAAAGATGCATCCTGCCCTTTATCTGTTACCCTTCTTACCCCACTGTCTCAGCTTTCCCTTCTCTCCCCAGGCAATAACTCATTGACTTTATAGATGTATATTTTCCTATATATAATTTATGACTGGCTGTTTTCACTTAGCATATTGTTTTCAAGTTTCATCTGTGTTGTAACATGTAATAGGCAAATGTGCTATTATGTTTACCTGCCATATTTTATGCATTGATAGACATTTGGATTATTTCTGCCTTTTGGCTTTTCTAAGAAATGTTGTTATGAAAATCAAAGGAGCAAGCTTTTGTGTGGACATGTTTTCATTATATGCTTAGGAGTTGAATTGCTGGGCCATATGGTAACTATATTTAATCATTTGAGAATTTGCCAGACTACTTTGCAGACAGAGTGCACCATTTTATATTCTTGCCAGCAGTGAATATATAAGCATTTGATTTCTGTGTGTCTTCATCCGTACCTATCTGTTATGTGCTTTTGATTGTAGCTGTCCTATTGGTCCAAAGTAGTACCTCATTATGGTTTTGATTTGTATTTTTCTTACGATTATAGATGTTGGACACTTTTTCATTTACTTACTGGTCATTTGTACATCTTCCATAGAAAAATAGTCTATAGCCTTTTCCTTTTTAAAAAATTGGATCATCTATATTTGTTATACGAATTTGTTAAGTCCCTTGCCAGATATTTTCCCTTACTCTGTGAGTTACCTTTTCTCTTCTCTTCTCCTCTTCTCTTCTCTTCTCTTCTCTTCTCTTCTCTTCTCTTCTCTTCTCTTCTCTTCTTTTTCTGTCTGTCTGTCTGTCTATCTATCTATCTATCTATCTATCTATTTATTTGATGCCAGGAATTGAACTTGGGACCTTGCACTTGTTAGGTAGGTGGCAGCACCATTGAGCTCATTCCCTGGCCTGACCTCTTCATTTTCTTTCTATTTTGGGACCAGGGATAAAACTCAGGCCTTTGTGCTTACAAGGCAGGTGGAAGAACCACTGAGCCAAATCCCCGGCCCTTCGTTTTCTTTTGATGGTGCTATTATGAAGCACAAAAGTTTTAAGTTAGATGAAGTCTGATTTGTTCATTTTTTCTTTTATTGTCAATGCTTTTGGTGTTATTAATACATTTTATAATCCTTTTCAAAGGCTTCTAGGCCTGTCCTTTGCTGGAGCATGTGTTTGTTTATTTGTTTTTAAAGAATTTTATAGTTTTTAATTGAGATTTTACTTCACTCTAGAAAGAATGGGTATTTATTATCAAAAAAATCAAGTAATAAATGCTGGCTTGGCTGCTGTGAAGGAACCCTACTTTTTTGAGGCAGGTATATGTGTGTGTGTGTGTGTGTGTGTGTGTGTGTGTATGTGTGTGAATGATATACATGGTATATATATATATGTGTGTGTATATATATATATATATATATACACACATATATATGGTTTATATATCATATATGTATATGGTTTTAAAACAATCTTTTCTCTTGCTACTGAGGATTGAACTTGGGGCTTTTGGCTTTTTCTTGATTTTTGTTTTTAATCTTGAGATAAGGTCTTGGTAAGTCACTTAAGTTGCTTAGGTTGGACTGGAACTTGGTATCCTCCTGCCCGAACCTTCCAAGGATGGGGGATTACAGGTGTGGGTGACCATACCCAGCGTCATTTAGGTGTCTAAACTAAATCATGTAAATACCTCTAATCCCATTTA